AGTTCTGATAACGCCTTTTTAAAGAGGCGTCACGTTCCATTATGTGGTCATTTAGAACAACCAAACATGAAGAGTACTAATAACTAAATCAAGTGGTCAAATGGAATCATACTACCCCCTTAAGGATGAGAGATTGACAGTTTGATGCCCTGCTTTGATGAGACCACCAACATGTAACTGCATTTTTTTTTATTTTCACGGGGCTCAGATGTGATGTCGTAATGGGGAGAAGAGGAATTTTGGGCTGAATGTAGATGGAACATACTGAGAATGAAATTTCGAAGCCAACCCAACTAGTGTTGGCCTTGTCATCAGGAGATCGTCAGTTTGATCCCTGCTGATGCTACAGCCATCTGTGGCCTGGAGTCCAAGAAAGCACAGTTGGCCTCGCTCTCTCTTGGCCCTCCTTGCCCCTCCCCCCAGTACTCAGCACAATGCTAGTGGAGCACAATGTGGCCGTCTGTTAGCTGACGTAACAGAATTGGCAATAACAAGTTCTCCCCAGGTGTGTATTCTTACTACAAGATCATGTCAAAGCCATTATTTTAGGCTGCATGTAAGAGTCTATGGGCAAGACACCTAACATTACAGTTGTTTTCCTCTGAAACAAACTGTCTTTCAATAAAATTGCATCCCATACCCTTCCAAATGAAATTAAATGGATGTTGCCCTTGTTTTCCTTTAAGCCTTTGCTTCCCAAAATATTTGTGTACAGGCCTGCACAACAGTGCTCTACAGAGCGCATTACTTTGCTTGCCTTGTTTACCAAGGTAACGTGAATCATGTGAAAATGGACAATTATGAGCAAAGAGCACAAAACTGAAGGTGGCACCAAGAAGACCGGAATGAAAGCCTTTGAGGAGAATGCAAAGTGTTGCAAAATATTTCTGAGCAAGTAGGCAGTAAAAATTGCTGATAGCATTCATTTATAGCATATTATTAGTCATGATTATGTAACGTTTAACATAAAAGCTTTCTCCAGTTTTTGTTTTATCACCAGCTGGCCAGCTTAGTAATCCCATTCTAGCAAATAAATAAGAATAGCAAATGAAGACGATGCCCAGATTTTAGAACAGCTTTTTGAGCAGTTTTTAACTAGCCTTTCTCTGCAAAGTGACCAGCTACAGGTTAGCTGGTAATAAATAAGCTTTCAGCAATGCAGCCTTCTCTCTCTCTATTTTTGTTTGTTTGTTTTATTGGGTTTATTTTGTGTGTTTATCAGAGAAGATAAAGTCTGGGCTGGGCTGATCTCCATCATGTCACGACGTCCACTCCGGCTCTGGTGGATAACTAACTGGATTGCGTCTGTCTTTTCTGAGGACCACCATATTTACGACGTCCAGACTGAATGGAACAGAATGGAATTTGAAACGTTTTAGCCAAAAATGTTTCCATGCTAAAGGTGTTTTTTGCAGAAACGTTTCAGATTCCGTTCCGTTCTCCCGCTTCGGGAACAAGACTGGCTCTATGGGAAACCGGAAGGTTGGAGGTCAACGCGCCATCGCCGGCCAGAAGGAGCGATTCTAGAACACACACATGCGGTTCATGCTGTTTTTGGATGCTAATCTGAATTCCGCCTGTACTCGAGTCTCTGGGGTCTGTGCTACTGAATTTAACAGAGGGGAACTCTACAGTGTCTATAGAGCTCTCTGTGTGACCAAGTGTTTGTTTTTATATCTTTTCTGGACATTTTTTAATAAAATAGAGTTACAAAACTATGCTTTGTGGTAAAACAGTCCTGCAGCACAGTAAATGGTTCTACTTTGTAAATATTTTGTTATTATATAGAGATAATCCTTCAAAGTGGGCTATTTTGCACTTTGAAATGAAGCCCTTCATATTATTACAACATTATTACACATATATAACATATTTAGTACATTATTATTACATATAAAGATTTATATATATGTATTTAATACATATGGGACATGTTATTGTTGCATATAGATACTTATATAATATGTATGGGACATGTGTAGGACTCCATGTCCTGACATTGTATGAAAACAAACAAACATTTATTTGTGTGTGCGCTTATATTGACTTTAAGTCATCAGGTTCATATCAGTGTGGGAAATCTTTTTCTTTGCCCTCCTCCTCTTCAGTGATCCTGAGAGACACATTTACATGCGCAAGTGCCCACACACACACACACACACACAAACAAAAATGTACTTTCCTGTTCACGTCTGTGGTGATTATGTTCTTGAATATGATGATGATGATGGTGATGATGATGCTTTTTCAATTAAGATACACATAATGTGGCTTTATTTAAAGCTTCACTACAGGTGACTTCGTGTCTGATGGAGCCATGATTTACATAAAATCATGTTTTATTCATCACCATTCTTCTCATTTTCTCATCCTAGAGGCTTTTAGCATGTATCCACCTCTCCATCATATAGCTGATGTTTAGGGTCTTGCAGGCAGGGATACATAGGCTTTTATTTAGGACATGCTGCATTCAGACCGTTTTGTAAAAGCAGGCAAAAGACTATCATCCAGAATCGCTTCACTAAACTTCCATTTGGAATCACTTGATTTTAGTAAAAATATAATATTATGAATTTTTAAATATATTTCCTTATTTACAGTGTAAATTGCAAAATTATAAACTATACAATATATTTTAGATGCTTTATTCTATATTTGAAGCCTTTAGGGAGCTAAAAAAAGTTCTTAAATGATAAATAAACTACAAGGCTAAACGTATATATGGACACCTGACCATCACACTTATATGAGCTCACTGGACATCCCACTCTAAATCCATGGGCATGATTATGGAGGTGACCCTCTTTGCAGCTACAACAACCTCAACTCTTCTGAAAAGGCTTTCCACAAGATTTTGGAGAGTGTCTGTGGGAATTTGTGCCCATTCAATCAGAAGAGCATGTGTGAGGTCAGACGTTGGACGAGAGGGTCTGACTCACAATCTAAGTTTTAGTTCATCCCAAAGGTGTTCAGTGGAGTTGAGGTCAGGGATCTGTACAGGCCACTGGAGTTGCTTCACACCAAACAGGAAAGGACTTCCTCAAACTGTTGTCACAGAGTTGGGAACATATAATTGTCTAAAATGCCTTTTTTATGCTGTAGCATTAACCCTTCACTGGAACTAAGGGGTCCAAACCCTGAAAAACAGCCCCAGCCCATTATCCCTCCTCCACCAAACTTTACTGTTGGCACTATGCATTCCAGTAGGTAGCATTCTCTTGGCATCCACCAAACCCAGGCTCATCCATCAGACTGTGAGAAAGTGGAGTGTGATGCATTAATCCAGGGAACACTTTTGCACTGCTTGATTTTCCCGGCATGGAGTCCAGTGACGGCGTGCCTTACACCACTCCAGCCGATGCTTGGCATTGCATATAATGATCTTAGGCTTGTTTGCAGCAGCTTGGCTATGGAAACCCATTTCATGAAGCTCTCAGCACACAAATCCTGTGCTGCTTTTACTTTCAGAGTTTGGAACTCTGTAGTGAGTGATGTAACAGAGAATAGGTTTTTTTACACACTAAGTGCTTCAGCACTGGGCGGACCCACTCTACCACTTTATGACTGGGCTGTTGTTGTTCTTAGATGCTCCCATTTCACAATAATAGCACTTACAGTTGACAGGGCAGATCTAGCAAGGCAGAAATTCCTATTCCTACACTGTAAGCCCGGATAAGTTGAACTTACTTAAAAAATTTGAGGAAACCGGTTGCCTTAAAAAAAAAAATTAAATAATGTGTAATGAAAACTTGAGTTAGAGTAACTATAATTTTTGAGTTAGCCTAACATAAACATACGTTTGTACAACTCGTAAATTCTAATTATTTTAATTTAACGTCTTGAAATTGCAATTTAACTATGTTTCATAGACAATTGAGAAATGTTTTCTATTTAAGTGATATTAATCACTTTACCAAACACCAAAGGGTTAACCTTTACTGTGAACACCGTCACTGACCAACACAAAAGCCCACTCATCAGCAAAGAGAACGATAACCTTCACTCTTAGCCATCAACACAACGTCAGGCAGCTGAGTAAAACATACGTAAATAACATTTGCCTGAGGAAAGGCAGCCTGGGTGGATCGAAAGCTCACTGACGGTGAGTAAAACAAAGGGAAAGAAACACTCAGTATGCAAATAGATGGAGCCGGGAGCCAATGGGAAAGAAATATACATTTTATATATGTATATAATAAAATATATTTAATTATATATTTATATAATAAAATCATGTTAACAAAACAAACATGTAACTGTATTTCACAGCTTACTTAGCTTCACTCAGTTTCACACATTTTCAACCAACTCCGTTTGAATATGGGGTTTCAAAGTTGCCATAGCAACAGACTAAACTAAAGAGCAAAAAGTTAATTCAACTCAAAAATATCATTTGGGTGTGCAAAATCATAAAAAACGTTCCCTTAACTTAAAATTGTTGAGCAATGTGTGGGATATACTGAGTTTTATGTACAACTGACTTAATTTATTTGAGTTAAAACAAAATGCGGGTTTACAGTGTATAACAGTGCCGTGTTTGAAGTCATTGAACTCTTCATTGTGACCCATTCTACTGCCAGTGTTTGTCTATGGAGACTGCAAGGCTTTGTGATTTTATACACCTGTTAGCAACAGGTGTGGCTGAAACACCTGACCAGAATTAGAAGAAATAGTCATCACATGGCTTAAGAATCCCTTATATTTGATTTGTTATCTCTTGTGAAGTGACACATGATGAACAGGTTATTGGCTTAAGTTGAACATTTTTCCATGGTAGAAAAAAATGCAAGCACAGCCCGTGTCTGGGAATATGCCATCTAAATGAAACCTAATTGTGTTATTTACCTGTGATCACTTTTGATATATGAGGCATTCTGAATATTAATTTTATTATTAATATTAACTTGGAACTCTGGGACTTAATTTAAGCATAACAATCTCGATCTCAATCTCGATATGGCAATCACAATATGCTGATATGTATCTCTTTCTTTCTGTAGGTGGTATGGTGAGCATTGGAGGGTGATGAGTTGAGAGTGAGGGTCTTCCTGACCCCACTCTCCCCACCCACACACACAGACTGAGGCATGTCTCTGTGTCTGCTCCTGATCCTCTTAACACTGGCCTCACACACTCAGGTAACACGTTACTAAACATGCTCACAAGTCTTTTTTTTTTTCTACAGCATTTGACCACTAGTCACCATTTACAGTGTAAAAAATTCATGATGAATGGGCCGATGAAGAAATGGTCCAGAATTAGTTGGAATAAATTCGAAGAGTGATAGATTTAGATTGAAACAGAGACAACTGAAGACACCTAAAAGGCATCGTCTTCTATTTGAAGCTTGTAATAGACATATTAGCATATATTTACCTTGTAGCAGTTACACAGTGACTCTTTCAGTAGAGAGCTTTCCATTTCTAAAAGCCCACTGATTAGACTTCTACTCATTTTCACAGTCAGGAATGTATCTAGAACTTCAAGAAGGCCTAGAGTAATGTGCTTCTCACAGAATTGGTCACCCATTGGAAATCAAAACGTGATTGGCTGATTCCACTGTCACTTCATATTTATGCTGATGGTTAATCTACCATGTTAGGGCATCTCTTCAGCTTGTGAAGTCATAACCAGTAGGCGAGCTCACCTGGCTGCACCTAATTAGACCCCATTAAAAAAGATTTGTGATTTGCTAATTTTCTTCTGGGCTTTTACAAAAATGTTACCTTTTTGGTTTCATCTTTTAACGCAACAATGAATCAGGAGTTGTATGGAAAAATGTGTTTAAGGCAACATTATGTACCTTTTTACCTTAACATCACAGTTTTAACATCATCTTAATGGCACACAGACTTATAAAAGAGAGAATGGCATCTCTGTCATTGCCACTGTGGACCTGGAATGCCTGCTATAGCACTCTGTAACTTTAGAGGGAGCAGGCCCAAAACCTCTTGTGAGAACTGCATAACACTTTATGGCACCACATCATACACCAACAACTCAGCCAGCTATAAGAAGTTTGATTATCCCAGCATGGACATAATAGCCAAAGTTGCAATGAAAGCAAGTAAGATGTAGTCAGAGGAAGCGAGGAAGAGAAATAGAAAGAGTGACCGAGCAAGAGACCGGACAAGAGTAACTTCAACTGTTAAGCAAGGGGGTGGATCGATAATGCTTTGCACTTGTATGGCAGCCAGTGGAACAAGGAACATTTCTGTGGTATATGGAATAATAGATTCAATTAAATACCAGCAAATTCTAGAGACAAACATCACAATTTTTTCTGAAAAAAAAAGTTGGAGATGAAAAAAGGCTTTTACAACAGGATAATGATCCTAAACACATCTAAAAATCCACAATGGACTACCTCAAGAGGTGCAAGCTGAAGGTTTTACTCACCCTAACTATTCACAGTAACAGACATTTTGACCAGGGGTACACAAACCTTTGCATGGCACTGTATCCTTAATTACATCTCAGGTTTAGCGGATCTTCAGTTCTCATTTTTATACAGAAGTGCTGTCTTATTGTAAACAGAGGGTCCAGAGGTCTATCAGTGCAGCGCTTATTGTGTGCACATGTGTGTGCACCATTGTTTGATAAATGTGACCCCGAGTGATTCATAGTATTGGTGTGTAGGTGTTTGTCACTGATTTGTGTGCAGCCCTTGTGTATTGTGACAGTTTCTAATGTGCTGTTGTGCAGGTGTCCTTGGCCCTGAAGGTGTTGATGGAGCAATGGGCGAGCTACAGGAACGAGTGTATTCAGAGCTTCAGGAACACTTCACCTGCAGCAGGTTAGAAACTCAAATGCTGCTTTCAGAAATTTAGGTTCATAGCAATCATAAATACACTACATGACCAAAAGTATGTGCACCCAAAAACCACAGCTGTATGGGTTTTTTATTACAAAATGGTATTAATATGGAGTTTGTAGCCCCTTTGCTGCAGTAACAGCCTCTACTCTTCTGAGAAGGTTTTCGACTATAGGTCAACATTGGTGTTTTTCTGGCTCACAGTCACCCTCAAAGGAGCTGGAAGGGGTTCAGGTCAGGGCTCTGTGCAGGCCAGTCAAGTTATTCCTAACTTGCCGCCACTTCTTTATGGAGCTCCCTTTGTGTACAGGGGTATTGTCAATCCTCTAGAATGTCATTATAGCATTAAGATATAACTAAGTGGCCCAAACCACCAAAACCAGCCTGAGCCCATTATTCCACCTCCACCAAACTTTAAAGTTGGCACTGTGCATTAAGGTAGGTAGAAAGTTGTATCTGCCAAACCCAGATCATTAGACCAAATGGTGGTTAAGTGTGATTCTTCACTGGAGATGTTTTCACTGCTCTAGAGCCCAATGGCTGCATGCCATATGCCTCTCAAGCTCTCAGCACTTGGTGGTCTTGTGCTGTGAGCTCTCTACTTTACCGTAACAGACTTACAGTTGACCAGGGCAGCTCTAGCAAGGCCAAAATTTGAAGAAGTGAGTTGTCAGAAAGGTGGCATCCTATGGCAGTGCCATGTTCAATAAAGTCACTGTGCTTTTCATTACAACCCATTCTACTGTCAGTGTTTTCTATAGAGACTAAATATCTTGCTTGATTTTATGTGCCTGTTAGCATCGGAAGTGTTGGAAATAGCTGAAGATACTAATTAGTGTGTGTCCACATACTTTTGGCCTTGTAGTGTATAAATATATGATGATGTTTAGTTTTGATGGCTCATAATGCTGTTCTTAAATCAATTATTAGACACTATATACAATAGTGATATTGGGGTCATTCGAAAGGCTAGAAAATTATAGACTTTGGGTGTCATTGCAGGAGAAATTTAAATCAGAAAATTTAATTTTGTTAATATAGCACAATATGAGTCCTTTCTGAACCTTTTTTGGATGCAAAATGAGAGGTTTGTTTTTTTTTCATTAAGCTATCTTGGAATAAAAAAAAGATACTGCATGCTATTATTTACATCACACTTCAATGGGAAAAAAATGAAACCTTCAGGAATAATAGAACTCATCATTGATTCTAGAATTATCAATATCTTATTATCATTAATAGCATTTCTATTAATAGTACAGCGTAGTGTATGAATAGTGTAATAGTATAGTGCCCCATCTGCATTGTTGACCCTAACCACGTTTCCACTTTTTTGTCCAGGTTTGGTGTGTAACCGGACATTTGATAATTACGCCTGCTGGTCTGATGGATCTCCCGGCTCTGTTGTTAATGTTTCCTGTCCGTGGTACCTGCCGTGGCATCGGAAAGGTCAGAATCACCTTACAGTGTCGGCTTCTGACTTACATCACTGAGACACTGGGTTACTTGAATACAAATGTGTCTAGGTTGACTCTGTGCGTTGCTTTTGGAAAAGCTGGTAAAGTTAGTGATTCTTTGGGCTTAAGAAAAACATGTTATAAAAAATATAATATCGTTTTTTTTATTGTTATTGATTCCTATGAAAAAAAACAGGATCAGCAGACTGAATTTTCTACTTTCCAACTTTGTGTGTGTGTAGTTCAGCAGGGCCTGGTGTATCGAGTGTGTGGTACAGATGGTCGATGGAGTGACAGTAAAAACACCAGCGAGTGTGAAGAGAACAACCCAGCAATGGTGAGAGACCTGTAGTACATTTGCTGTCAAAGTTGACAAGACAAATTATTTCACTAATTTTTTTAACGCATATTAGCACATTTTTCTAGCCTGACCCTTTGAACCATCCACAGTAGTTAGCAAGTTGTATGTTGCCTGGATAGAATCTGTGATTGTAGCCCTCTCAGTAATTAAAAATAGCTTTTAAAGCGATACTTTCAGCACATTCAGGAGAACTATGAGAAATCAATGAGCAGCAAACTAACAAGAGCAACAGCTTTTCCTTTTGAGACCCTCCACTGTAACAAGGAGCCAATTTTGGTCCATGTCTAATGGTCCATTCTAATGATGCTCATAGAGCACTGAGGCCTGCACTCAGCAACCAAGCATATTAACAAGATATTATAGCTGTTTAAATCTTTTTATTTCACATGTTTCGGCTTATGCTGTTCTCAGTGTCATTCAAATCTGTGCACACAGGTGCGGCTTAAAATATTCACATGTATCCACAAATGGCAACTCAACTGTGTAATCCCACACAAGAGCAGCTGGAGTTTAGTAAATTATGTATACAGAAAACAATGGAGATCAGTGGATTCACAAGCTTTAAATATGACAGCTTTAAATATGACATTAGTTAATCACATTTGTGTTATTCACTATTTGACATATTTTACTATCTTCTTTAATATCTGACCTTTGATCCCCTCTCTCTGTTTCTGTCTATAGAGAGAGTATGGGCAGATTCTCAGTAAATTCAGGGCGATGTATACAGTGGGGTATTCTCTATCTCTGGCAGCTTTAATCCTCGCACTGGGCATTCTGGCCGCCTTCAGGTAACACACCCACATGTTCTCTCACGCAGAGCCCCTGATTCACCGAATGAGCTTCACTTACCTTATAGTTCTACTATATCTGTGTTTAATTACAGACTATAATCCACCTGATGTAGCAGAGTTTACCAGCCCCCATCTACCCCATTCATTATTTGTCAGATTCTGACCAGAGGACTGCTGTTGTCCAGATGTTATTTGGGTGGTCAGTGTCACTGCTAGGTTGAAAGTGGACCACACTCAAAAACAGACCATTGATGGAGGGCTAGAGGATGGGTTTCATTCCAATTAGGGAAAAAGTCATTGTCACTGAAAGAGTCACTAAAAGAGTCACTTGAACTATGTCTGATTCTGTCATTTCTCAAAAAAAGATGCTAAACTGAACATTTGACAACTCATAATGGACTTATTTAACTTTTCAACTCTGATTCACTGTTTATAATAGATTCATATCTTTGTTTTATGGGTTGTGCAGGAAGTTACATTGCATGAGGAACAACATTCATATGAACCTGTTTGCCTCTTTCATCCTGCGTGCTGTGTCCATCCTGGTGAAAGACGCACTACTGGACATGATCAATACTGCCCAGATAGGACATTTCCACTATCAGAGTCAGAGCTGGGTCAATGTAAAGGTAAACACACACCTGAGAAAAACCACACACCTCTGCTACATCTACTACAACATCAGATATGGCGGTGAAATGTTTTAACACTTTACATATTTTATCATTTAAACTACTACACTCGTCAGTTTAATAATTATCGTTAATTGAATAGTAACCTTTACACTGTATTAGTTACATAATGCAAAACAGTGATGAGCAGTGATTTCAGACTTTTGTGATTTTGAATTTTGAAACAGTAATTCTAAAATTTTGAAGTTCATTTCAGACTTTTAAAGAGTGATTTTAACATTTTGAAAAGTATTTCTAAACTTTTGAACTGCGATTTGAAACTTTTGAACTGCGATTTGAAACTTTTGAACTGATTCAAAACTTTTAAACAGTGATTTGCAACTTTTGATTTGCAATTTGAAACTTTTGACCAATAATTTGAAACCTTTGAATTGTGATTTCAAAGTTATGAAAAGTGATTTTAAACTTTGTATTTGAGATGTCAAACTTTTACTTTGTGATTAAAAATTTTTGAACAGTGATTTTAAACTTTTGAACAGTGAATTTAAATGTTAAATAACCTTGCTGTTCTTCTTTGGTCATCTCAGATGGTTGCTGGGTGTCGTGCTGCCATGGTGATGATGCAGTACAGTGTTATTGCCAATAACTACTGGCTGCTGGTGGAGGGTTTATACCTGCACAGCCTTCTGTCCATAACTGTGTTCTCAGAGAGGAACTACTTCTACATATACCTCTGCATTGGCTGGGGTAAGCATGTGTGTGTGTGTGTGTTTAAGCAGCTGACTGATAACAGGAAGCCACAGTTGTATCTAATAGTTGATAAAGTACTACTGTGCCAAAGTCTTAGTTCAGCCAAGAAAAACTATTTAAAATGTAAGAAGTTGTAAAAGCATAAACACACAAAGCGAGTGTTCAAATACAGAATTGCATCATATTGCAAACTGTCAAGTTTTTAATACTGGAAACATCACTTTGAAACATAAACAAACTACTAGTAGCTTATAGCAGATGGATAGTTTATGCTAGTTTAACATGATTATGCGACGTACTTGGCTAGCATTCTCTGTTGCTCACTTTGGTTGTTCTCTTCCTTTTACCATCACCACACTTTCCTTAATCTAATAAAGTATAACTTAATATTGAGTATTGATGAGATGACCCAGGTATTGTATGGTAACTGTAAATACTGGACTGACTGCAAATGATTATCACACTCAAATCAAATCACAAAGTATTGAATGTATATTTATTGGCATTCGTGTTTTTCTAAACACATAAAGGCTTACTGCCTAAATAAATAGATGGCCAAATACTTTTGCATATTACTTATGTATTCGTAAGTAATGCAACCTGAAAGTAACACTGTTAATCAACTGAACTGATGTAGTCCCCCTTATTTGACTTACAGGTGCTCCAGTGATATTCGTGTTGCCATGGGTGACAGTCAAATACCTGTATGAGAATGAGCAGTAAGTATCCTTCATTTAAAATGTTATGTTGTAATTAAACTTTCTGAAGATTAAAAAGAAAAAGGCCTGAGGCTGTTTGTGCAGTGGTCCCACTTAACAGGTAAAATTTTGTTGAATTTCTGGATGAACGTGTTGCAGTGACAGTAGCATTGAATAAAATCTTGAAGCTTTGCTGCTGAAAAGATAAAGACTGTGTAGCTCAAGTTCCCCAGTTGATCTATCCAGGCTCTGCCCACAAATGCGTTCTTTCGTAGTTACTGTTGTGAGGTTGGACAAGCTTTGCAGAACACTGGTAGTAATCTTATTCACCCTAATGGAAAACTACAGCACACACTTAGCTATTATTTAAACCGAATACTTGTACTTCTACTCAGTTACATTTCAAAGAGACAAAACATACTTTTTACTTCCTTTCCAAACACTCATTACAAATCTGAAAGACCAGGACATTTTCTCTTTTTTCTCAATGCAGTTCAGTTCATTTATTTTTTTTATTCATTTATACCACTGCTAATCCATGTTTGCACTGGGACCAGTACCACCTATTAGTGGCTGCGCTATACACAGTTTATTGAAAAGGTTTAAGACACAACAGATTGTCTAGTCTGGATTACACAGAGCATAATCAGCTTGTGTCCAGTTACATACATAGATACATACATACATGCATGCACATGCATAAATAAATAAATAAATAAATAAATAAATAAGGTTATCTGTTAAAATGTTTCTACTTTCATATACTTTTTAACATTTAAACTCCACTACTGCAGTGAAAGGTGTCCTGGCTCACAGCCCAGTCACACTCTGCTACAGTGGTGAAGAGTGTCCCAGCTTGTGACCCAGTCAAATTCCACTACTGCAGTGAAAATTGTTCTGGCTTATGGCCCAGTCCAACTCCACTATGGTGGTGAAGAGTGTCCCAGCTTTTGGCCCATCTCAAGTTCCACTACAGTGATGAAAAACGTCCTGACTTATGGTCCAGTCAAACTCTGCTACAGTGATAAAAATTGTCCTTTCTCATGGCCCAGTCAAACTCTGCTCCAGCAGAGAAAAGAGTCCTGGCTTGTGGCCCAGTCAAACTCCTCTACAGTGGTGAAAAGGATCCTGGCTTATGGCCCAGTCAAACTCCGCTCCAATGGTAAAAAAGTGTCTTGGCTTATGGCCCAGTCAAACTCTGCTCCAGCAGTAAAAAGTGTCTTGGCTTATGGCCCAGTCAAACTCCATTGCAGCAGTGAAAAGTGCCCTGGCTTGTGACCCAGTAAAACTCCAAAAAAAAAAAAATCCAGTGAAAACTGTCCAGCCTAACTGTGCTATTGCAGTGAAAACTGCCCTGTTTCACAGCCCCATCAAACTCCACTACCACAGTAAAAAGGGTCCTGGCTCGCAGCCCGGCCAAACTCTGCTATCACAGTGAAAAGTGTCCCGGCTCACAGCCCAGTCAAGCCACAGAGAAAAGTGTCCTGGCTCACGGATCAGTCAAACCCCAACATCACAGTGAAAAGTATCCTGATTCATGGCTTATGGTCCATTACACAAAAACTTACACCACTGCAGTTGAAAGTCTCTTGGCTGGTTCTCTGTCAACAATTGAAAAACTCCTGGACCAGTGGGAAAGGTTCAAAACAAAATAAATCACTGACACACCACAACCAGTACAAAAGCAAGCAAATAAAAACCTTATATACCCAAAAATGGGCACAGCCTTCACACACCAAACACACATACAAATAAACATCGTTATAAATAATGACTGACTGTAGATTTTGGTATTTTGAAAAAGATTTGTCTGTTCTACAGTCTCTCATTAGGTTGAATGAACAACTGGCTGTAAATGTAGGTACTGTGATATAAACTGAGTCATGTTCTACAACACGTTTCCACTGCTCTACAGTCCAATGCCAGTGTGCTTCACACCACACTAGCCGTCACTTGGCGGCTGCTCGGCCATGGAAACCCATTTCATGAACCTCCCAATGCACAGCTCATTTGCTGATGTTGCTTCCAGAGGCAGTTTGGAACTCTTCAGTGAGTGATGTAACAGAGCATAGGCGCTATGCACTTCAGCACTCGGCCTCCCTGCTCTGTGTGTTTGCATGGTCTATCGCTTTGAGAGCTGTTTTTGCTCCTAGACACTTCCATTTCACAATGTGGCATCCTATGACAGTGCCCTATTTAAAGTCATTGACCTCTTCACTATTACCATTCTACTTCTAATGTTTGTCTGTGAAGACTTTCTCCACCTGTTAGCAATGGCTGTGGCTGATACACCTGAACTCAATAATTAGGAGTGGTGTCCACATACTTTTGGCCAAACATTAAATCCATCTGATCAAAGAAGAACAGAGTCTAGAGTCTATCTAAAACTAGGATGTGTGGAGGAAAGTTCTATTAGTGAGAATTAAGGGTGAGCAACGGGTTATGCAAGTCCAATCATTAATATTTATATTGAAGTCTACATTAAGTCTTCATTAAGGTCTACATTAATGGACAGAAGCTGCATCAAAGTGCACTGACTGTGCACCTATTCAGATTGAAAAATAATAAACTCAATGGTTGCCAAGGTGACCTTGCAAAAGTGACCTTTGAAATAGAAATTGTTTTTTTTGATTAATCAGCCCTGCATTTAGAAGTCTGAGCATCAGACCAAGCTCATAAAACCTGAATAGTCTTACTAATGGGGTCTTTTTTCTCCTTTGCTTCCCACACCACTAATCTGAAGGTCAGTGAAGCTTGAGGTTTTGTAGCATCGTACTGAAATGGTGTAACATCACATTCAACCAGTTCTATGATTATTATGATTGTCTTAGATATTGAAATCTTTTGGGGAACCAAAGCTTCACATTCCACAGTCATCAAATATTAAGACCTGTTATGTTTTGCCAAATTGTTGTACACAGAATTGCCACTTTATCTGAAACAGCCTACTGAATAGGTGCACTTTGTAAGTTCACATTTACAGACTGTATCCCATCTGTTGCTGCACAGTTTATCAGCACTTTCTGGCCTGACCACTGAAAAGGGACCACTGTAGGACCACTGCTGACCAGATATTATTTGGCAGGCCAGGAACGATCTTGTAATGAGAATATGCATCTGGGGACCACCTGTTCAACAGTTGGTGTTAGATTCCTGCTAACAAGGCTACACCCTCTAAAACTTATCCCCAAATTCCCCCCATTCCTTTGTTTTTAATGTATGGAGTACAATCGATAACACAAGCATGATAGGTAGTGAAAAGCTATGTTTTACATAATGTTCATTGTTCAGAATGTCAAGCTTGAGGCACCAAACCAATAACATGAAACTCTTTTAAAATATTTGGTTTGAAGACAATCGGTTTGAACAGGAGAAAAGAGAGGTCTTGGCTTTGTTGCCAACAGGATTTGGTAGAGGTTTGGTTTACCAAGCCTGGCCAGCTGTTTACAACTTATTTTTAAACAATGATGATAATCGATGATCTTGAGAAGTAGTGTTTATATTTACATCATATATTGTGTTCTCCGAGCATTCAACATGTACAATATATGACCAAAAGTATGTAGACACAACTTTTAATTCCTCCTAATTTTTGTTTCCAACAAAACGCATTGCGAGCAACAGTTCAAAATCAAGTAGCCATGCAGTCTCCATAGACAAACATTGGCAGTAGAATGGGTCATAATGAAGAGCTCAGAGACTTTAAACATGGTCCTGTCATAGGATACCACCTTTGCTACAAATCAGTTTGTGAAATTTCTGCTCTGCTGGATCTGCCCTGGTCAGCTGTAAGTGCTGTTATTGTCAAACAGAAACATCTAGGAGAAACAACAGCTTAGCCACAAAGCAGTAGACCACCCTAACCCATGGGCCGCTGAGTGCTGAAGTGCATAGTACATAAAAATCACCTGTTCTCAGTGACATCACTCACTACAGAGTTCCAAACTGCCTCTGGAGGCAACATCAGCACAAGAACTGTGTGATGGGAGCTTCAAGAAATGGGTTTCAATGGCCAAGCAGCTGTACATAAGCCTAAGATCACTATGAGCAATACCATGGGTGTGGTGGGGTAAAGCACACCGCCACTGGACTCTGGTTTGTTCTACTCTGTTAAGCCTATGTTTCCACTACGTCTCATGGTTGTTACCCTAAAATATCCAGCCAGGAGGTCTGTGGTTGAAAACTGACCACTGATGAGGGGCTACAGAATGTCTAACACAAACTGCAACAACAGCTTGTATTAGCTAAAATCTCAGACTCTACACCAGCAAGATGGAGGGGCTTCCAGTAAAGTGGGCACTGTATGAACGTATTGCAGTTTTAACAGAGTCCTCAGACTCTATCACGTGTATTCAGACCCACGGTAAAACTGAAACGTGACTGTTCATCCACATTCAGTGACACATGGAACGTGTGCATATTTATGAAGTGAAATCCAGAATATAATCCAGATCAATATTGTTTGTATTGTGTTCTGTGTACAGGTGCTGGGAGAGGAACATAAACATGGGCTACTGGTGGATAATCCGCTCACCCATTCTGTTTGCTTATCTGGTGAGGGGCTTATCGCATATACACACACAGCAACAGACACACACACATACACACACACACACACACACACACAGCGCTAGCGAATTAACACATTCCGCTATGCATCTTGTGAGAGTGAGAGAGAAAGAGAGCACTTTATAAACGTTTCACAAAGTGTTTTGTCATTGTAGCACTTCAACACACTCAATACACCTGACGCTTTGAGTAAAAACTTTGAGGAAGTCTTTGATAATTAAGATTAATTGGATGTCCTTTGTATCAAATTTATACACTTTCCTCCTTAACCAAAATGTAGAAAACCAATTACATTAATTTAAATAAATCTAATTAATTGCTTGTATATCTGGTCTTGTCACAAAGCAGCTTCCTACTCTGTAATCCCGCATTTTGTTTTAAATTAAGTCTGTTGTACATAAAACTCAGTATATTCCACACATTGCTCAACCATTTTAAGTTAAGGGAACGTTTTTGATGACTTTGTACACCCAAATGGCATTTTTGAGTTGAATTAACTGATTGCGATTTAGTTTAGTCTGTTGCTATGGCAACTTTGAAACCCCACATTCAAAAAATGACAACATTTCTGTTGGTTTTAATTGTTTCTTTCTCATTAAAGTTGCTGAACTGAGTGAAGCTAAGTAAGCTGTAAAACACAGTTACCTGTTTGTTTTGTTAAGACGATCTTGTTAGATAAAACACATATTTCTTTCCCATTGGCTCCCGGCTCCATCTATTTGCATATTGAGTGTTTCTTTCCATTTGTCACCATCAGTGAGCTTTCATTCCCCCCAGGCTGCCTTTCCTCAGGTGTATGTTTTTATGTATTCTTTACTCCTGCCTGACATTGTGCTGTTGGCTAAGAGTGAAGGTTATCTTTCTCTTTGCTGATGAATGGGTGTTTGTGTTGGTCAGTGACCATGTTCACAGTATAAGTTAACCCTTTGGTGTTTGGTGGTCAATCTCACTTAATTAGAAAAAAAAAAAAATCTCCATTGGCTAATGAAACATATGGATAAATTGCTGTTTCAAGATGTTAAGTTAAAATAATTAGAATTTATGAGTTGCACAAACATGTGTTTATGTTAGCCTAAGACAAAATGATAGTTATTCTAACTCAAGTTTTCATTACACATTACTTAATTTTTTTCAAGGCAACCAGTTTCCTCAAATTTTAAGGAAATTTAACTTATCCAGGCTTACAGTGCAGAAAACTATATCCAAACTCAAGAGTGCAAAACAAAACTCCTAAGAAAATGAGAAAGAATCACTAAAGGGAATCAACACTGAAAATTGATAACTTCCTAAAAGCATGAGGAGGAACCACTGAGAGGAACCAAGACTCAAAATGGTAACTCCCTTAAAATATGAGGAAGAACCCTTAAGAGGAACCAAGAACTCCCTAAGAGCATTATGAAGAGCCACTAAGAGAAACCAAGAACTCCCTAAGAGCATGAAGAAAAGCCTAAATGAAAGCTCCCTAAAAGTATGAGGGAGAATCACTAAGAGGACCCCGGACTCAAAAATGATATCTCCCTAAAAGCACAGGGAAAACTATTTAGAGGAACCAAGACTCAAAGAAAACCTCTCTAACAGCATGAGGAACAACCACTGAGAGGAACCAAGAACTTTCTAAGAGCATGAAGAAGAACCTATAAGATGAACCAAGACTCAAAAATGATAACTCCTTAAAAGCATGAGGAAGAACCACTGAAAAGAACCAAGACTCAAAATGGTAACTCACTAAAAGCATGAGTAAGAACCACTAAGAGAAACCAAGAACTCCCTAGAGCATGAGTAAGAACCACTGAGAGGAACCAAGACTCAAAAGGGCAAGTCATCCTTCTCTGGTTGACACTGGATTGCAAACAGTAACACAGAAAAGCAGTGAGAGTTATGAGAATAATGAATAAAGTAATGATTAATGAACAAACTGATGACGAATAAAGAAACAAAGTGAGTCTAATCATCAGACAGACGTGTTCAGATTAACTACTGACTAATGTGAGAAGCGCATCATCATTATCTCAAAGAATGTTAATGAGAATGAAATGACTGATTGCTGTGTGGATGTTAGCTTGAACAGTTAAGGAGCTCAGTATAGTGGGGGGCACTGTATTTGTTTTAAATGATGATTGCACTGTTGAAGGAAAAATTCTGTTCAGCCCTACCTGGCCCTGTGTGAAAAAGTAATTGCCCCCTTAGCTACTAAATCTACCAGTTAACCAAATTGAATTACTGGGTTCAATTTCATGAGCCACACCCAGACATCAATACTGCCCGACCTGTTGAATCTAAACATCCCTTAAATAGGACATCAGGTAATGTGAAGCAGCTAGAAGGTCTCAAAAAGCAGCACATGATACCGCGTTCTAAAGAGATTCAAATACAGATGCAATGAAGACATCGAAATCTACCAGTCTGGAAAGGGTTACAGAGCCAATGCTAAGGCTCTGGGACTCCAGTGAACCACAGTGAGAGCCATTATGCACAAATGGAGAAAACTGGCTGTGAAGAAGCCCTTATTGAGAAAAGGAAATAGACAAACAAGAAGAACATTTGCAGTACAACACCAAAACTGGACATCTGAGATGTGGAGGAAGGTTTAATGGAATGATGAGTCTAAATCTGTAACTGGATTATTTGGATCGTGAGAAGCAGAAAATGCACCCAACTTGAAAAATATCCCTGCAGATTTCAGGGAAAAACTGAAAGTGAGCCTCCTGAAAAGAGCTGAAGATGTAAAAGGGCAAAGAGCGGACACATTACATACTGTAATGCTGGAGCTTCTGTTAAATGTGTTTTCTGCTTTTTAATGGCCATGAATGAACGGTGGCCTCTGATTTTGCATAGGACTGAAGCTAACAAGTGATGAATGCTGACACCTCACAGAATTAGCACAGCAAAGTACAAACACAATCCAGGCCTTAAGATGAGTGCTACCACTTTATTGCTCTTCTATGGGAAATATTGTGAAGTTTTGCTGAATCATATTTCTCTTCTTTGAAAACGTCTTTTTAATGACACGTCAGCACATCCACTGTAATGATGATGATAATGGTGATGAACCAGACTCTGATTTTATTTTTCTTGAAATATGAAGCAGAGCTTGTTTTGGGAGATGAGGAGAGATGAGCTGAGGCTTTGGGCTGTTTTAGTGAACACATGTATATTGCATTGTATTACATGGCATGCTGCATTAGTCACAGATAATATGTCAGCGGTAATATCACAAAATTCACATTTCCATCCGAACAAAGATAAAAGATACACTCACATTCGTACTCTTACACACCCCCTCAGCCTTACTCTTCTCATCCTTTTCCAACTACACACACCATTATGGGATGGTGATCTGAACCATTTATGTAAGAGTGGAATTTGATCTGCTTGTGTGACTAATGTGCCTTACAAATCAGATTTTTCTCTTCTTCTATTCTCTCTTTCTTTCTCTCTCTCTGTCTCTCAAACAGATTAATTTCTTTATATTTATTAGAATCATAAAGATCCTGATGTCCAAACTTAAGGCTCATCAGATGAGGTACACCGACTATAAGTTCAGGTAAATAACTAACTTCATTGGTATAATGTTTAATGTATATTCATGATGTACTAGGCTGGTTGATTTGACGATTTTTCAGTCTTTGCCAAATTAATGGTGTGAAAGAAGCTGTAGCCCACTATTATTAGAGCGTTTGATAGAAGTTTTAAGAACAAATGACAGTTTTAGATGGAAGGGACATGCAAACTAAGACTGTCAAGCTTAGTGGAGTAATAATACATTAATAATGTGGTAATAATATGGTAATAATATGGTAATAATGCATTAATAATGCATAAAGACCACTTTTTTTTGTATTTCACCATTAACACATTTCCTAGTTTGATCCTTCAAACCATGCAAAGCAGTGCAGGCTGAAGCCCACCTGCAGCACATTGAATATTGGTTGGAACAGTTGTAAATATGACTGTATATATGAAATATGATATATACACATTGGTTCAAATGATTTAAATTGTTGATGTCGAAGTTAATGTGAGCCTTGAATTCACACAGTGAAAATAGTGTTGTACTGAAGGTAATGAGGGTAGTTCTTACATTCTAAAGAAGGTTTCGTCCTGTCATATCCCTGTATGTATTATAAAAACATATTATATATTCTCTAATTCATTACAAAGGAACTATTGTTCACACAGCAAAGAACATTTTCTTCCAAGATATTTAAACTCTGTGTTTGACCACCAGTGGGTGCTGTGGTTGAAACTATTCAGCGCCACCTTGTGGCCAAATTATAAGATGCACATTTTCATTGGAGCTGAATTAAACCCGTAGACTACAAATGAATGATTTTTCAAATCATCTATAGGGATGTTTCTACTATCTTTAACGGATCATCCAAACCTAATGTATACCAAATATTTTGTGTTCAGATCAGCAATTATATTTCATAATCATATAATGTCAGTAGGATGTAGTTACATATTCTTTCTTTCAGATTGGCTAAATCTACCCTGACCCTCATTCCACTGTTGGGGATTCACGCCATCCTCTTCACCTTCGTCATTGATGAGTCCGTCTCCAAAGAGTCTCTGCTGCGGCTCATTCGGCTCTTCTACGACTTGCTCTTCAGCTCCTTCCAGGTAAGAGGTTGAAGCTTATAGTTACTCAGGCCAATTTCTATTCTGGGTCCCTTAGGACTTAAAATGCAGCCTTAAAGCTATTCAGCATGTGATCAAGAACATGATCAAGAAGCTCCATTAGTACTGCTTTGCAGCAAAGGCAGGACATTGCAATGAACAATTTTTCAGTGGGCACTTCACCTTTGTGCTGGATGAAAAGATATTTCTTTATTTGTTCAGACTTTTGAGACACAAACAAAATGTCAACATCACATTGAACAAGAACAATTTTTGAATTATGGATATTGATTCAACCTCTCAAGTCAAGTCAAGCCAAAGTTTATTTTTATAGCACTATTTACCACAGGCGTTGTCACAAAGCAGCTTTCCAAAAACATTTCCAGGTTCAAGCTCCCATAAGCATCACCAATGGCAACAGTGGTAAGGAAAAACTCCCTAAAGGCAAAAGGAAGAAACCTTGAGAGGGACCAAGACTCAAAAGGGGAACCTATCCTACTCTGGACAACACCAGGCAAAACAAATAGCAATGTAGCAAACCCTCTACATATCAATGCAGTTCACTCTGGGAATCCAGTTTATTGAAGGAAGGAGTGAAAATTACAAATTCCAACTTTAGGCAGGCCAAAACAAATTTTAAACTTAAGTAGAACTCTCTGGTTTTTAAAGTGGAATGTCAAAAACATGCATCTGAACAATTACATTTTGCACTCTATGGAAGACATCACATCACATTTCCTTTTGACATGAGTAAAAAAAGCAGTGCTTCAAATTACCCTACACACTTTAAAGTAATGGTTCTTTAGAAAAGAAAATAGTTCTATATAGAACAATGAACAATCAAAGAACCCTTTGCCTGATTAAAAGGCTCTTTGCATCATGAAAGTGTTATTCAGATTGATAGAGAATATGCTGTAGGTGGTTTTGAAAAAGTTTCTATATAGCACCATAAAGGGTTCTTCTATTGTTACAATGTCAGGCTTGTTAGAATAGAAGAACCCTTTTTTGGTGCTATATATATCCCTTTTCAAAAAGGTTCTGTATGAAACCATCTACAGAACATTCTCCATCAGTCTGAAAACCATTTCAGGATGCAAAGAATCCTTTAATCATGCAAAGGATTCTTTGAGTGTTCATGGTTCTATATAGAACCATTTTGTTTTACTAAATAACCCTTGAAGATCCATCCTTTTTAAGTTTACAGAGTTCTGTCTCAGATAAAAAGGTTTCAGAATGTCCAAAAGCTTCTAATGTGACTAAGGGCTCACTTTTTATTGGTTTATTCAAACTCTTCCCTTAAGTATTAACCCTTTCATTTTCAGTAAATATGTATCATGTCAATGTAAAGTGAGGAAAATGAGTTTGTTGCCTTGAGGCAACATCATGGAATAGAGGGTTAAACAGTTATAAAGTCTAAAAAGTAGCTTCAGAAGTGTGACTGAACCATCTATCTCCAAACACAGGGTCTGCTGGTGGCCATTTTGTACTGCTTTGTCAACAAAGAGGTAAGAGGAACCATTTTTTGAAACTTTTCCCACTTGTGGTTGATAATGTACTCACTGTCCTGCACATTACAGGGTTTTTCCTGCTCTAGCATGACCAGTACAATGTGTTACCTCTTCCTAAATTGAAATGGGCATGTTAGAGCAAAAAAATGCTAAAACATACATAACAGGGGTATTCCAGAACCAGGATGAGGAGCTGCTGCTTTACACTACACCTTCAAGACCTGACTAACTGTACAAAGCCACTTCAATTCTGTTTCTCCAGAGGCATCTTGACCCAGATAATTAACAACTTAACATGTAAAACAATGATTCTTAACCCTGAATGTGTTACTCTTCCATCTCTCTCCAGGTCCAGCATGAGATGTTGAAGCGGTGGAGGAGGTGGAAGCTAGGGAAGGATATCGAGGAGGAGTACCGACACACCCACAGCCAAACTCCTCATCCCAAGAGTGGCAGCACAGTTATGCCTTTGCCCCCAGACCGCTCGGATACACCGGAGCCCCAGGAATCAGCCCCACCTTCTGAGGAGAGCAGGCGGCTTGTGATCAGCTACCACCGCAATGGCACAGGTGTGAACCGAGGGAGAGGGAGGGCGGGCCTATGCTTGGCCTCCGAACGACATGAGGGCACCAGCAACTGCAGCTCTTTAACGGAGGACATTTGTTTGGAGGAGCGCCTGAACTGCACTCCAACTGGGGTGGATGAGTGCGATATCTGAGGGAACCAGGACCTTGATCACTTCCTGCGATGGACTAGTGCAATCCTGAGATGATGCATTCCAAATATGAGACGGAACCATGGAGGAACATAGACAGTCCCATCTAAGAGTTGATTTTAGGACTATCAAATCTGGAGGTCTTTCAGGAAACTGTAAAATGGCATAATGGAAGAACAGTGGACCTAAAACTGAGATTGCCCTCCTGCTTCGTCATGGCGAGAATGATGGATATACCATTAAGACACTTCCATCTGTGCTATTTCAAATGGCTTTAAAGGACCAAAACCTGATATATGTTGCGTTTACAACTCATAGAGCTACCAGTTTCCTGGTGGTTGTTGAGTTTGTCCCTTGCTGGATACCACACTACTGTAAAAGAGGCTGCACCACAAAAAACATGGGTTTCAATCCTTTTAACATGCCCTCTCCAACTTTCAATTGCAATGCATTTGTGCTCGGATAGGTTAGCCTCAACTAGCCATGCAAACTTTGTAATCCATATGTTTTAAGTTTGAACATGGCACACATAAAATTTATGAATAATTGCTTTGTTTGGTTTTGGTGTACTGCCTTACTTTTTGTTGTTGCCAGCTGTGTAGCTCTTAACATGCTGACTAGCAAGCAAGCAGAGTAAAGAAATCAAGCTTTATTGACAGTCAGGTATAACAGATCGAGTAGTCCGCACAATTAATTTTAATCTAAATGTTATAGCTTTGAAATAATAAGCATTTTATAGTAGTTTACTGCTATAGCTTAACAACAGCTTCAGCTCTTAAGGCAGCACTTACGTCCACTCGACCCTCACCCCGAGGGCTTGTCTAATAAACTTCATTTGACCTAATTCAGTAATGGAACAGCCTTTAAGATTGTGTCTGGGATTCTGCAGAGGGGAAATGCCGAGGTCAAGTGGACGAGGGCATGTTAAAACTACAAATGGGTAGATGTTATCCTCATAGATATACCAAGGAAGTGTCAGTAACTGTTTTCACATGGGCCAGTTTTAACTCAGAGTGAGCCGACCAAAGTTTTCACACAGTTGTGAAAAAGTTTGGAGGTTCAAACAGACTCGAATTCGATCTGGTGTTGGACAAGCTTCAATTGAACATTTTTCCACTTGCCATCCAAAATACTACGAAAACAGAAATAGGTACAAACCTGCCACATCAGTCAGCATTGGCTTTGTGGTTTCATTCAGTTGTTAATGTAACTAATTAATGGAGTTTAAAAATGAATTTAACCTCTCTTTTTTAGCAAGGTTTTAGCTTCTCATTGGAACAGTCTCCAGCTCTTAGGTCTCCTGACTGTGGCACAAAGCGTCATGAGCCAAAGCCTGCCTGTTGTACAAAAAAGGAAAGATTTTACCTCAAGCGAGCACCTGGCAGTGCTGAAAAATCTCATAATACTGTTACAACTGATGAGCGTTTGTGAGTCTACACACGAATTCACACAGGCACACGCTCTATCATTCTTCTATAGTGCCATTCCAGGCCTGAGATTACCCAGGATGGAAGACATGTTCTTGAGAGAATCTGAACTCGACTGAGAGTTGTAAAACGCTGCCTTTGTTGGCATCCACTGGGGTTCTTCTTCCAAATCAAGAAGCCTCTGGGGCTGATTAAGGGCCTAGAGTAGTGGGACTGCTGTGTGGGAACGGCATTCCAGATACTGCAGGGAATGCCTGATGTGGAAAGTCACATGCTTTGCCATTCGTGAATACGAAGACATTTGGGTGTAGAGTTGCGATGGTTCTGCAAAAAAATCAAATGTACACAATTGTCTCTTTATTCCAAATGTGATTGGTGAGCCAAGACATGTTTGGTAGTTCTACAATGTAGCTAACACATAATGGAAGCTTATGTACACCAATTAGCATGGTGCTAACTATAAAGAACGATCATTTGAAAGAATCCAAAGTGTTTCCAGTCCCAATAAAAACACCCAATCCAGGTAATTAAGGCTTTCAGTGACATCTGAATGTTAGAGTGTGTTGGATCTGAACTCTCCAGGGTGCTAGATCCCCCTGGTGGTAGGACCAGGATTGGGCATTTCACAAGGAACTCTTTAAGTTTATATTAATATCATTTTACAAACTTTGGATTCTTCAGTTACAGAGTAACCCAGATATATATGTACCCAAGATAAGTAAACCATGCATATACTACCATGAAGGCTCCAGAATGGCACAACCATCTAAGCGTTGGCCCCATCATCAGGAAATCGTGAGTTCGATCCCTGGTGATGCTACAGCTATATGTGGCCAGGCGGTCCAAGAGAGCACAATTGGCCTTGCCTTCGCCCTCCTAGCGCTGGTAGTATTGTGTGATTGGGGGAGTCTTAACTAGTGGGTGGAATTGGACATGAGAAAATTGGGGAAACAAAAAAAAACCCCTTTGAATTCACTTGTCATAATAATATTTTTTGATACTTTTTTCAATAGGATGACTGCAAAATTATATGCTGGTAAAATATTATCAAAGAGTTCAAATGTGGGGAAATTGGGATAAGGATCTCTTAGAAGAGACAATATACTCACCTTTCCAGATACCACTTCACCACTGGTGTACAGTTACCTTTAAAATTTGGTCAGTACATTGCATAGCTAACAGTTTTAGCAGCTGTCTTGGAGCCTGAAGCTTGTAGAAAGACGCAAACGTCAACAAAATGTCTTGTCAAGCTAATGACATTTGGGGTATCGAGCAAAACCCATAAATTATTTGTTTTTTTTTTTTGTTTTTTTTTTGTTCAAACTTTAATGCTGATTGAAAATGCAGCACTTTCCACATCCATGCCCCTGTTTATATTGCATTGTGTGTAATTTTGCCAAAAGTATTTATTCTTGCTGACAATGTTTCGTGTGTGATTGAGCCACCATTGAGTCTGCTTTATTTTCTGAATGTACAATAGTGGTATATGTGGACAAGGAAAAGTCTGGGGAAAGAACTTTTAAGCTATTAAGGTTATGTTAATGCTATCAGAGTCTTATGTATATAGCTATTTGAAGAAAAGAACTGTTCTGTGTTTTGTTTTGTAGATGAGAATCTGAAAAGATTATAAACATTACTGACTGAACCAAAGGACACGTGTTATTTAGCATGATTGCTGAAACATATGGAAGTCTGGGAACTTGATGTGGTCACTGCAGATTTCTGCAGCGTAAATCATGGGGTACTTACAACACAGACACACACACACAGAAGCCTGGCTCATAGCCAAGTCTCCAAGATTTGATAAACACTGTTCTACACCCACACAAGAATCTCCACCGGCAGTAAAATGAGCTTTTCAAATCCTCTAAACCTACTGCAGAAACATTCGGCTCACCTTCACTCTTAAAAATAAATGTTGTGAAGTGGTTCTTGGCTTTAAAGCCAATGCAAAAATGTGGCTATTTCTACAATTTATTCAGCCGTTCTCCATTCACTTCTCAGTGCTGTTGCATTTATATGTGAAGAATATGATCAAAGCTGTAGATCAGGGGTGCCCATCTTTTGCAACTCCTGGCCCACACAGATGACCACAAAAGCTTTCACAGCCCGCAAGAACGTTTAACCGATCCTTTTTTCTGGCTCATCTAATGATGTTTGAGAATATGCTTGCTTTTCTCGGTTTACTCAGTCTTAGATACAGTGGCTGCTTCAGTTACAGATAACCAAGCCTTGGAAAGTTTGCTTTTGGAGAGCCAAATTTTAGCCATTTATCCATGATGAATGGATTCCAAAAAGAAGTGAACCGTTTTACGCTGAAAGCACTTGCACTGAAAATATACAAATAAGTGGCTAGCATTTTACCATAATAATCATTGAAACTAACCTAAATGTATATTTTTGCAAATAATTAGGAAACACTGTTTGTCATATTTAAAATTATGTTCAGCTAAATGTTGATATTGTGACCAGAAAAAAAAATGCAGAACCACCACGTACCACTGGGGGGCCACGGCCCAGATTTTTGGCAACAATTTATTTGGATAGTCCACTTTAGATGCTTTGTAGATACTCAATTTACTTTCAAGTTACGTTTAACTAAATATCTACAAAATTGACCATGATTTTCTTTAACTCTAAACTTGGCTCTAATCCTCAACCTAATCTTAACCTCAACCCAAAATCTAATCCTAATCCTCACTCTGGCTCTAATCCTAACCTTAACCTTAACCTCATCTCAAAACCTAAACCCAACCCCCACCCTGGCCCTAATCCTAACCCTAACCTTAACCTTAACCAAAAAACTTAAACCCAACACTAACCCTGGCCAGATTTTTATGTAATTTGTTGACAAATCACATTTTTGAACAAGAAAATGCAAAGGTCAGTTGCATTTTATCATCACTCTGATTGAACAAAATAATAAGAAGTTCTTGCAAATCAGAATTACACTCTGAATAAGCTTTCATGGTCACTTAGAAACAGTCAAAATACATACAGTAGTAAAGGATGCATTATGCATTTTATAGAGCGATAGTGAACATGGTACCACACACTCCAAGTTTAAAGGGTCTTCGCCAAATTATCTGAACAGATCACTGGCAAAACATTCAGTTCCACAGGGTTAATCAATCTACAATAAACGCAGCATATATTTCAGCTTTTATTTGACATAAGTTGATGTGAATTGGGCCGAAGGTTTCCCTGTGTGCATTTACATGCACTCAATAATCCAATCATAATCAGTTTTCTGCAGTTATCCGATTATTCAAATGATCATGTAAACACCATACTCCAATCTAGAAATCAGATTAAGAAATCTGATAAAGAGGCTGGATTTTAGCTCAGTAATCAGATTTCTCACTGCATGTAAACTCTGACTCTGATTTCTTTCAGATTTCTCAGTCTGCACATGTGTGAAAACAGACCACTGTACCAGAAATATGCTGCGAGACGCAGCAAAACACTTTTGGAGCGACACTGAAACCGACATTCTCGATGAAATGAAGGATTTAAATATTCTTCATCTTCTGGATGATATATGTTCATATTTTCAGGTAAAGTGGCTCAATGTTTGAAAAAGCCTCAGCATGAAGTTTGAGTTTTACGTTACATTTACGTCACATCTTCTTCTGTGAGTTTATTGGCTGGTTGCAAAGCAGAAATCTGATTACTGCCCAACTCATGTAGACCCAGACTTTTCCCATTATCTGATTACTCTGGTGCATGTAAATGCATTGATCAGATTACTGACAAAATTTCATTTTCTGCAGTTATTGGATCATTATTCATTATCTACATCAGAAAAGAAAATTTGTTATTTTGCCATCTTTAATTTAGAACATTATTTGGAGGTTCCATAAACTTTTAAACTTTTTCATTTACAAACATGGTTATTTAAAGAACTGCCCATTAGCAGGTTCCTCAGGGACCCAAAAGTGGTTCTTCTATGAAATTGCACTGAATAACGTGTTATTTTTAAGAG